ATTTACGTGGTGTTTTTAAATCTAAATCTACCATTTAGGGGTACATTTACAAGTCAGTGTTAAAATACAGTGATTTTACTGGCAACTTTCTGCCAGTCATTTTACAGTAAAAATACAATTTGAAGCGTATATTTACTTGAAATATACTTTCAAAAGGTGAAATTTTTAAAGGGAATGTGTTTGTCCCCACTCGGCGAAGTAGGCCTAGGTTCGATCCTCGCGAACACATAAAGGTTTGCGGACCTTTCAGCCGAGTATGCAAAACCTCATTTGATAATGGAAAGAAATCAAATAAAATGGGGTTTAACGTCCTACTGTTCTGCTTCTTACAATGGAAAGAGTGGGAGGCATGCAACGAAGCAAAATGTCCCACACAGCCCAATGTATGACATATCACGGTCTCCATGCGCCTGTTAGGTGCATTCATATTTTGAATAACCTATTTCTAAAAAAATAGACTAATCTGACTGACATAACAGTAAATATTTTGCACAAAATTCGATATGTGGTCGAAGGGGAATAACCGTTTCGAACACTATTGACAGTAAATTTACAGTTTGTTGTAAAAATACTATTTCAAATGGCATTTCTGTTAATATACAGCTCACTTAATGTAAAATGACATATGGTTGTATTTCTACTTTATGTTTGATGTAATCTTACATGTGGCCAAAGAGGGAATAACCGATGTGGTCACTATTTGACAGTTAATTTACAATTTGCTGTAAAAATAATAATTCAAATGGCATTTCTGTTATATACAGTTCACATAATGTAAACTGACATAATATGGTTGTATTTCTACATTACGTTTGATGTAATCTTACACAGGCCTTCTATTCATATGCATTTAAGTTAACAAACCATGTGATATTCCAAATCGGACACTGTATTTTAAGTATACTTATAACTGTAAATATATTTATACTTTTAACGGTTTGATAGGGATCTTTTACGTGCACACCAATGTGTACACGGAACCTCGGTGTTTCGACCCATCCGAACGACTAGACAGCTATCCTTGTCCGGCCTGCATCACTGGTAAGGGGGAACCACAACGGAAAAATCTGGATTAACTTTCTCGGCCAAAGCAGGTATCGAACACTCGACCTCTAGGCTAGCGAGCCAGCGTCTCACCCACTTAGCCACCAAGACCCCACCAAGTGGACTATAGACGAAAAGTAATGAAACCTTAAAGGGTCTACCAATGTTAAAGTTTCCTGTAAATTGTACACAAATCCCGTATTTAAACATGTTTGAATAGTAAAATTACCCATAAAACAGTTAAAGTACAACATACATGTACGTTAAAAAACATAGTTGTATCAATACAGGTTATTTGTAACAAAATACAGTTCTAACTTGTAAAACTACACTTTAATGGTTAATTTACCATTTATTTTTACAGTAATCCCATGTAACCGCACTAATACAGTAAATGTATAGTATAAAAACATGCAGTGGTATTTTTACAGCGTTATGTTAAAGAAATTACATATTTTTCACTGTAATTCTACATTTATTTTTAACAGTGTATAACGTAAACAGTGTAAACAGTTAAACATACATCATGCAAGAGCTAAATCTGCCAATTGCAGGCCTTTCATTAGGCCTGAAATGTTATCTAAATTATTAATTAGACATTAATTAACTTATCCAGACCATAATCAACTCTCGATGGCATCGCTAGCCTCCGATATTTACTAGATTATGATCCCATTTGCTGCTCGACTTCCATTCATAATTTAATCATGGAATGGATGATCGAGACTTTGTTTTTATCGCACAGACTTTAGTAATGAGGATCGAGGCTAGGCCGAAATTTCGATCGCTTAATTCTTGGTTCATAGTGGATCAATTTGACAGAAATTTTCAGCAAATTGCCTTTACATTATCTAGTTTTTAACTATTATAGTGAGAATTGTCAGCTCTTTATCTTATAATGTATGTATCCATAATGTATTTTTAATATCGTATAACGTTAACAGCCCAATATCTTAAACCGTAAACTGTACAATTTCTTATCCGTACACAGTACAATATCTTATAACGTAAACAGTACAAATAATGTAACGTAAACCGTACAATATCTTAATCCTTATAAGACATATAGAAATAGATTTCACTAAAAATAAAACACACTTATATGGATATACTACTTCTGAATTTATTAACATGCTAGGTTTCGATACACATACAGATATCGTTTTCAAGCAAATAATGATAATCAACAATAAATGTGGTACAATATATAGGTAACAAGTGGAAACCATTTAACAAAATAATCAATACTATCAACGTACAATATCTTATAAAATAAACAGTATGATATCTTATAACGTAAATAGCACAATTAAATAGCTTATAACATAAACAGTACAATATATTATAACGTAAGCATAACAGCATTTGATAACGTAAACCGTACAAAATCATATAACCTAAACAGTACAAATTATAAACAGTACAGTATCTTATGACGTAAACTTAAACAGTACAATAATATAACGTAATCATTACAATATCTTATAATGTAAACAGTACAATATTTTATAACTCAAACAGTACAATATTATATAACGTAATCCGTAAATTTCTTATAACATAAACAGTACAATGTCTTTTAAGGCAAACAACATAATTTTCTAACGTAAACAGTAAATTATCTTATAACCTAGACAGTACAATATATTTTATCGTAAACATTACAATATTATCTTTTATCATAAATAGTACAATATTTTATCACCTAAACATTACAATATCGTGTAACGTAAACGAATAAAGGCGCGCTAAATTAACTATGAACGGAATGACCACTCCCTATCGGATGATGATAAAGATATATGTTAGTATTTATTAATCTAAAATACTCCGTAGTTTAAATGGCTTCATTACTATAAATATTGTTTAATACAATACACGTTCATTTGTATCAAGCTGTGTAGTGAGGGACAACGCGACATTTATTGACTTAAAGATTTAATTCAGATATTAGATAGTCATAGTTGTCAATATCAGACTACCATGAGATATTTATATAAAATATCTTTAACTTGGTCAATTTAAATAAACATTGATGATGTTATCGTCCCGTGAAAAGATGGGCTCCTGGTATCCAATAAAGAAATGAAATGAAATGAAAAAATGGCGCACGGATCGCGTGTCAGAAAGCCTAGAATGCTTCCGAGCGCCATTTGTAATGGAGTGACTGGATGAACGAGGTTAAACATATCTCACAAGGGTATACTATCGGAGTAGACTGGATTAACCAACACCAAAGACTGCCATTCAATTTGCATTCTTCGTGTATTTCGCCGAAGATAAATGATCAGAAATTAGAGTAAAAATAGAAACGACTGAAAGATACGGTTTATATCCATTCATATTACATTATTATATGTGTTGCGACCCATTTGTGTCCATTTCTAGGTGCCAAGGAATAGCGATTTAGCTCCCTTAAAGTTGAAATCAATCTAAGACTGATCGAACAGGCATTGTACGCAGGGTTTAATGCCCTACTTTTTTGCACCAATCGCGATAATGAAGACAGACACATACTATGCAGTGTGCTATGAGGGAAATCGGAATACATGTATGACCAAAAGCTTTTTAAAATGAAAAACAATTCGAAGGATTTTGTTGCACAATATAACAAGAAAAGAATATTCGGTTCAGATATACAGATATATACATTCAATTTTACTAGTAGAAGCATTGGGATCGGGCCTCTGTTGTAATGTGAGAATAAATTTACAGAGATGCTATTACATTTTGGGTAAAGCAGACGAGCACATATAACAACCTACACAATCTCATGGGGTATATATATTGATCCGTCGCGAAAAAGTTTTTTCCTGACAATATTCATGCTTTAGTCAGTAAATGTAGCCCATATATTGTTTTTGAAAGACGTACAAAACTATATTAAAAGAGTAATTTGTGTACATGAATGAATTTGTGTACATGAATGAATTGAAATCCTGTCTATTTTCCAATACAATATTATGAATATAAGTGATGCACTAGGCATTATGCCCCACATTTTAAAAATTTGGACTTTGCCCACTACCTTGAATTAGCTAACTCTAATGTGCTTTCTCATACATTCTCGAACGATAACTTCGTATTATGTCTTTTTAATTTATATTACACACCCGACTTCTAGACGCCTATTTTGTCAAATCATAGATAGTGTACCCGGGCTTCAGCTCCCCTATATTTTGCAAGTATTTTCGTTCCGATGAAATTTAAACGACCGATTTAACTGGGAGTGCTGGAGATATATACTTAGCTTAAATGTGTGCATTTTGGCATGATAGTCAGCTGGACATTTAAAGAGACAGGAATATCAAATACAACATGCCGTAAGCATCTGCATGACTGCTTGTGGGATCATTGTCAAATCTAACAGCAAATCTGCTTTCATTGGCGATGGAACGCACGCCTGTTAAATGTAGTGACCTTAGCTTTTTAAAAGCCACATTTTATACCATAAAATCACATTTTCAACATTCTAATTCTGTCAAATTCCATTTTAATCTATGGTGGGTTTAGAACATCGTGTAAACATGATTTTCGCATGTAAGCTGATATAACATATATAGAGTTGCTAGAATAAAGTGTAATCTCGAAAACGAGAGGTACGATCACCTAATTAAAGGGGTTGTCTTTTCATTACGTCTCGTTATATAACTATTTACCAACTTAAAGTATTTTATTTCGATAAGTGATGATAATGGGGTTTGCCATCCTAATTTTCAGCACCAACCGGGATAATCAAGACGATCAAACACCAATCGGAGCAGAACAATAGAACGTTAAACCCAATTTCATTCCATTTTGCATTAGTAATAGACCTCAATGTATAAGTGAACTGTATCTGTTTCACAATGTTATAAAGTGGTTACTTTAAAAGAAAATAATGACTCGGCACATCTATAAGCGTGTATATAAAGATCATTAACTATGACTCGCACTACACGAACGACGTTGACGAGAGCTATTTACCACGGGTGATAGACAGTTATCACAGGCATAAAATGAAGATGTCAAGTTTGTGTTTACTAATTTGGAATTTATTATTCTCTTTTTATATAATTGGTGAAGCCGTTGAAAGAACAGTTGTCTCTAATATTGGAACAGTAATTGGGGAGGTTCGAACTATCACTATTGGACCTTCAACAGCTGATATAACAGAGTTTCTTGGCATACCTTATGCTGAACCACCCACAGGAAATAGAAGATATTCTAAGCCAGTGAAGAAAGAGAAATTTAACAGTACATTTTCTGCCTTGCAACTTGGTGCATCCTGTCCTCAGGCCAGTCCACTTTTCACACCAAATAAAACTGACGAAGACTGTTTATTTTTGAACATTTATACCCCAGCTACATCTAACAGCGTGGCCAGATTTCCTACCATGGTCTGGATACATGGGGGTGGCTTCATTGTCGGTGATGGCAATTCCTTTGGCGGCGAAAAGTTAAGCGCTTACGGTCAGGTGGTCGTGGTAACTGTAAATTATCGTCTAGGACCTTTTGGATTTCTGAACACTGACGATGGTTCTGTGGACGCCAACAATGGCTTATGGGACCAGCATCTTGCACTTAAATGGGTTAAGGATAATATCGAAGACTTTGGTGGGGATTCCACGAAAATCACTATCTTCGGACAATCAGCTGGCGCTACTGCTGTTATGTTCCAAACCATATATCCCATGAACGCTGGATTATTTCAAAGAGCTATAGGTGAAAGTGGTGCTGCTAATATGCCCGGAGCTTTGGTACCGAAACCGGCTGAAAAGGCAAAACAATATGCTGCAAAATTGCAATGCCCAGTAACTTCTACGTCAGGAATGGTCGAATGTCTGCGAAGCAAAACAAACGTGACTGAACTTGCTATGATGTCTGATTTAAGTTTTGCTCAAGGGGGAACTGATTGGAGCCCATCAATTGATGGCGACATTGTATCAAAAGACCGAACAGACGCCCTAAATAGCCTAACTGGTGAAAAAAACCTAATACCTTTTAATAACATTGATCTTATAATGGGAACCAACGGCTATGAAGGATTTCTTATTCTAACATTTCCATTATTTGCCAAACAGTATGCCGTTATGAAAAATGAGACAGCATCCATCGACGATATAAAAGAGGCAACCAGAAATATCATCTCCTTTTTTGTAGAGGCTACGTACGGACAAGACCTGGCCGGGAAGATCTTAGACACAATCATGTTTGAGTATACGAACTTTGACGAGCCAAACAATAGAGACCTACATATTAAACAATCGACCGATTGCTTAACGGACATAAATTTCTACATACCGATTCTCAATTCCTTACAAAATCATGTCCGCAGTAAAAACCAAACTAAAACATTTCAGTATGAGTTTGATGAACTCTACCCGTTCCAACATAGAGATTCTTGGATAAAAGGAGCGGTGCACGGAGACGACGTCCCCTATGTATTTGGTTTTCCAAGAGGACTAGAGGTATACTATAATTTTACCAGTGAACAAGGTGCTACACAATGGCCTTTCTCGTCGGAAATCATGGACTATTGGACAAATTTTGCGAAAACGGGGTAAGTAAAAAATAGTTTTATTCTTAATCTAATAACAAAGCAGGTATATCCCAGAGTGTCATTCTAAAATAAAATAAATTTTATACGTTTAGCTGTCCCAGAGTCTATCGTTTACCTGTGCAAGTACACAAATACGAACTACTATAGAAAGAACCCACATACCTTTAATATTACATCGACCGCAAATGATTACTAAAATAGCTTGTGTTTGAACGCCCTCCCCTATTGCCTTGAAACGAAAATGAATATGAATAGAATTAAATTTTAGAATAATTTCTTATTGTTAAGTAATGCATTATGAGAAATCTCATAAATAATGCATAATTATCTAGATAATAAATTCAATAGAATATGCTGCTTAAAAATGTAGTAAAATAGGTGCGAGTAACAGGGCAGGATACGGTTATAATTCCTTTGAGATATAGTTACTAGACGAGACCAGGCTTTTCACTTGTCTAAAATACACAAACTTCAATTCATTTTTTGTGGACTAGCTTTACATAATATATCAACAGCATGTCATTTATATATTCCGAATTGCATATTTCACCCTATCTAGTAAAAAAGACGAAATGTGCCTAAAAGCACATAAATGTAACATGGGCGTATATAAAGTGATCTACATTCCATTTTTAAACCTTTTATTGTAATTTGTAATCAATTGTGCTTGTTTGAGGCCCGTTTAGTCCATTCTACACACCTTTTTATTATCATTTTGTCATTCATTTCTAATTACTTCAGCACTGCCTCCTGAGTTATATTTTGCTTTGTTCATTACAAATGGCGCTCGAAATCATCATGTCGTATAGCCTACTGATTTTAAAATCTTCACTGTCTTAAATATTAGATATTTTTACGGTAAGATAACGACATCAATATTGAATGCAATAAATCAATATTGAATTCCATGTCGTTTATTTTTATTTTATTTCGAATATTATGGAAAATATTTAATTAAGAGGTTTAGATTCTGTGCGATTAGAATGGAACCCATAAATATCAACGATTCCCGAAACCAACAGTAAACTAAAATCCGAGTTATACCCCTTGATAATATAAAGCATATACTTTTAAAGTAAAATAAACGTTTATCATTTCAGATCTCCTACAAATGCTGACGACCGAACTTCGACTCTTGTTCAGTGGAAGGAATTCAGCAACACCCAGAAAGAATATTTATATATGACATCGAAGCTTATAGAACAACGAGACAATCTTTTTGCCCGACGTGTGGAATTTTGGACCAGTTATTTACCTGCGTATATTAAAAGAGTAACTATCGTAACAAATGATACAGCAGCCAAACCATGTCCCGTTCCCAAAAATGCATCCTCCAAAATATCGATTAATGTTAGCTATATTGCTTTCTTGATCTTAACTTTAATCTATTCCGTTTAAACTTCAATTTGTTTAATCTATCAACAGATAAACCTGACAATTTCTTATGAAGGATGGAAACTAATATAATTTTAGTAAAAGACATCTAAGTTTTTCCTAAGCACGGCGAAGGACTCTTTATGCTAATACCAGTGTTAGAGTAAATTTATCTTTGGTTTATATATTATGTTAATACCAGCAATATGGTAGCGTTTATATATTTTTGGTGCAGTATATATAAGCGTTAATTTAATTTTGGAGTATATATTAAACAGATACCAACAACATGTTAATGTTTATTACGGTACGAACACGTTTTGTTTCGAAAGAGTTTACTATTTTGTTGTTAACGTTTATTTATTTCTCGTTTATATATTATGGTAATAGTAGTAACATGTTAATGTTTAGTTAGTTTTGGTTTATATATTATGGCAATACCAACAACATGTTAAATTTTATTTAGTTTTGGTGTATATATTATGCGAATACCAACAACATGTTAAAGTTTATTTAGTTTTGGTATATATATTATGCGAATACCAACAACATATTAAAGTTTATTTAGTTTTGGTGTATATATTATGCGAATACCAACAACATGTTAAAGTTTATTTAGTTTTGGTGTATATATTATGCGTATACCAACAGCATGTTAAAGTTTATTTAGTGTTGGTGTATATATTTATGCTCATATCACACTTAAATATTTAAATTGAAATTCGAATGTTCAAATATCAATTATTTATAAAAATAGCAAAATTTTATGTTTATTATATTTCGCTCGCTCGCAAAGCGTACCACTGTATAGCCTCATTTATAGATCCATACGCCGTCGCAATTGACCCCGTCCCGTTTTAGCTAACACGTGACTGAATACAAAATTGTATCATGATTTCACAACAACGGTGACCTGATTGGACAAGATACTACTACACTTGTGTTTATAAATATACCGACCTCGACAAATATGTGTAAGGTACACAAAGGGCGGATTTAGTGGGGGCGCACTTCGTGCACGCCGCCACCCCCGCCTTAACTGGATCCAGGTGTCAGATGTTTTAATAAATTAACTTTTAGAATTTCGTCTTTTATACAGTTCATAAGTTCCAGAAGAAACTGTTCACACTGCCTGTCTCGACCTGAACTATTTTCCAAGATTTCTGATTGAAAAAGTCCCATTATAATTCATTATTTTAGAACCGGATTCTTGTCTCAGATACCGAAAATGGCATTTTCGGGATTCTAATTTTCGACATTTTCCGGGGGAGACCACTCAGCAGATCCCCAGTTGTGCGCTTTGCGTCTTTGGCGTTCACAGCCTGTGGCTTTGCCGCCCGTGCTCCCTATCAATGGTCTCTGGATCCACCCTTGTACGCCGCGAAATGAATGTATGTTGATATTGAGGTTTATATTTATAGAAAGATAAAGGTGGGAACGGCCTTTGATAAATTAGACTAGGTTGGCGACCAAATTTAGTCCTCGCGTGGTTTAGAGCGGTGTGTGATAGCTACACAACCATGACTTTCGTTGAAAGGATTTTATGGATACAGTTTTTAACACTTATTGTAACCAGTCTAGCATCTCATAGAACAGTTAACTCTAGTGTGGGTATAATTATAGGCGATGTTCAAACTATTACTATTGGGCCAACCTCAGCGGCCATTACCACGTTTCTTGGTATACCGTATGCCGAGCCTCCGACAGGGAATCGGAGATTTAGAAAACCGGTAAAAAAAGAAAAATTTAACGACACCTTTTCTGCGTTGACATTTGGCGCATCCTGTCCTCAATACTCGCCTTATTATACTCCTGATAAAATGGACGAGGATTGCTTATTTTTAAATATATATTCCCCCGATACAACTGGTAGTGCCGACAAAGTACCTGTTATGGTCTGGATCCACGGTGGAGGGTTTAGGATAGGAGATGGAAAAGCTTACGGTGGTGAAAAATTAGCTGCTTATGGACAAGTGGTGGTAGTTACATTAAATTATCGTTTAGGCCCACTTGGGTTCTTAAACGTATTCGACGATATTGTGGATGCAAACAATGGCCTATGGGATCAACGAATGGCTATGGTGTGGGTGAAAGACAACATACTAAGTTTCGGCGGGGATCCAAATAATATCACACTATTTGGCCAATCGTCAGGTGCAGCAGCTGTCATGTATCAAGCAACATATCCTGGTAATCAAGGTATAATACACAGAGCTATAGCTGAAAGTGGTTCTTGTAATGCAGAATGGGCCCTTATTTCAAAACCTGTTGATAAAGCTAAAGAGTATGCCCGCAAATTCAATTGTCCTGTCATCACCAATATTGACATGGTTCGATGTTTAAGAAATCTAGATAATCTTACCTTAATTGCAAAGTGGTCTGATTTGAGTTCCTCTATCGGTGACCAGGATTGGGGCCCATCCCTTGATGACGACATTGTAGACGTAAATAAATTAATTGCGTTGACGGATCCCACCAGTAACACTAAGCTGTCAGAATTTAATAATTTGGATTTACTTATGGGTTTAAATGGATATGATGGTCAATCGTTCCTTACACCACCAGCCTTTGCAATGCAATATGCTATTTTAACCAACTCTACAACTTCCATCAATGAAATTAAAAGCGTTAATAGACATATAATATCTACCGTACTGTATGAGAGGTATGGGTATAGTGTCGCCCACAAAATTCTTGACGCTGTAATGTTTGAGTATACAAACTTCGAGGAAGCCGCCAATAAAGATCTGCATATCAAACAATCAACGGATTTCATGACAGCTATAAACTTTCTATATCCAACCATTTTAGCTCTAGACAACCATGCCAATGAAAACACGAGGGCTAAAACCTACCAATACCAATTTGATGAACTATTCCCATTTCAATATCGCGATCCTTGGATCAAAGGCGCTGTCCATTCGGATGAAACTCTTTATGTATTTGGCTTTCCGGAATCAATCGAGACATTTTACAATTATACCCAATTAGGTAGTGCGTCACAATGGAATTTAGTTGCTAAAGTGATGGATTATTGGACAAATTTTGCCAAATCGGGGTAAGATATTTTCATAGTTTAAGTAATATAAAATAAATATTACGGTGTTTAGACATTCTTAAGTAGGAACATGCGTAGTCGTTCATAACTAGTGTGTGTGTGTGTGTGTGTGTGTGTGGGGGGGGGGGGGTGTCACTAACGTGTGCGCTATAGATTATAAGCTATTGTACATGTACCTGACAAAGAGTAGGATCGCCCGACTTCGTGAGTTTTCTCCCGTTTTCTTCCACTGCTTAAGACCCGTGTACGCAAGCAGAATATTGTCTAAATATATGTACCTCTCTCCCATATTAATCAAATAGCGTAACTCTGTTTAGCTTACACAGAAGATGCACGTATTTAACACCAGAATTAAGGTTCACACAAGCATTTTCTTCGGGTTGCATCTCTGTTCACCCCGCTTTTAAGAACATTTCAGGATCTGTGCCATGGATATGCTGCTTCCTTTCAATATCCGGTAATGTACATCGTTTCTTATTCTTAAATTTGCACTTAATCAAATTTCAGTGATCCTAATGTGCCGAGGTCGCCCACGATAGAATGGAATGAATATACCAACACGAAAAGGGAATATTTATACATTGCATCACAAAGAACAGCTATGAAACACAATTTAGATGCCAAACACGTCGACTTTTGGATAAACTATCTTCCTGGGTATATCAAACGAGTTACAGAAACTGTTGTGAAAGAGAACGAGTACTGTACGAGCTCATCTTGCAATATTTCTATTGCCAGATGTAACATAGTAATACCATTTGTATTGATATTATTTGTCTTTTTGTCACATATGTAGAGAAAACACGACTATACTAACTTTGTTTTCGCTTAATAAATATGGTTTCTTATCACATAGTATAATCCTGTAACCCATATCTATTTAAAATAATCTTAAAATAATCATGTTTATGTCAGATTTAGATAAAAAGCTTGCTATAATTTTTTTGGTTTAATATCGTAGCAACAGTACTTGATAATCGGGACTAAGTTCTAGATTATCCATTTTTAAATTAAATTATTAAATGTCGATCTTGTTTCAATCCATTTAAATCTCACCCATCCGATGTTCTAGAGTGTTAGGCTTATCAAGTGAATATATGTCTAAAATTCAAATTATTATTATATCATTTGAAGCCAAAAACAAAAACCCGCAATTGGTGGAATTAGCTCGTACATAATGCATCTTTAACTTTAAATACATATTGGTATTTAAAACAATGTGTCGTGAGTAAAGTTATAGGATTTGAATCATTCAGATCAAAAGAAATGGTCGCTACGGGCCCAACAACGTTTAAAGTATAGAACGTTGATTGATGCTTCGTCTCCTCAAACTTCCGCTGTTACCAGTAAACTCTTTAAAACACCCATTTGGGATTGTCTTTCTAACAATTCTCATTGGTTACTGAGATAATGAATAATAATATGGTCATTTCGATGTTCGCGGCCACGCCCATTTTGCTGAAATCGCCGAATTAATTGGGCCATATATATCATATGAACGGACAGGCCGATCAACATAAAATTTGGAATATCAGCCTTGATTTGACACGGAATAACCCATTTTATCAAACAGGGGCCTGTTTCACAAAATTTTAACTAAGATAAAATCCAAATTTTAGTAATTTGATTGGATAATATTAGATTGATTTTAGTGCTTAGCCAATCAAAATTGAAGTATCTGCTAAAATTAGATTTTATCTTTAGTTAAGATTTGGTGAAACAGGCCCCTGGCTTCTAAACTATTTTTACTTTAACAAACCAGAATTATTCTCTTTTCAAGATTTTTATAATGAAAAAAGAATAATTTTGGTTCTAATTATGTGATAAACCACTTACTAACTTTAAACAAGATTAAGATTGGTGTATTACAACTGTGTTATCGTTACATGCTGTTCGCCATAGATAAATTAGCAAAGTGCAAGGGAAGTAACTATGATCTTTGTTTTAAAAATATGAAGGTATACAATTATTCTCAAATCAACGTGTATAATGACCAACTTGCGTCATTTTGATCAATCATTCACGGACATAACACATCCAAAGTTTGAGCACAGTTTAATGGACACCCTAAGTCAATAAGTCTTCATTTTGATTTTGGGGTCTATTAAAACCATCAGTATTGCGTGGATTATAGGCCAGTTAATTTATGATTACCCCCAAAAAATTGCAAGAAAAGGTTTTAATGCATTTTTGCGTTTATTTATAAGGTATACCGTATACTTTATTACATCCCAAAAGTTACCAAATTTTGCGCACCAGAACGTGGTAAAAATTGGTAAAATCCAAGATGGCCTACATTAGACTACTCAATGTTCAAGAAAATCCTAAATGGTTGTTTTTAGAACCTATATGTATAATAAACATATAACAATATGATACAAAAATGTCAAATAAATGACCCCATTAAAAGTAATATGACGTCATATAGCCAAATAATGACATACTATGACGACCGGCACATCTACGTACTAAAACATTTAAAGTTTTGCTTTTATGCCCTATAAATCTTTATATAGAGGTTAACAGGAATTAACATTGAAGTATCTTTGATCATAAAAATTACATCTGGCATTATAATAACGCAAGGTGGACAGTTTATGATGTACTGTTATGTCATGTCTTTCTTGGTTGTCATCTTATAGCTGTTGTAAGCTACCCTAAAGATATTATCATGATAGTTCATGAACACAGTTCCTTTGGAGATGAGTGGACGGTGCTTGTAGCGCAACATTATCACTCCAAACTTTAAGATGGCGACCACAGAATAACACGACGTTATAGTCGCCATAAACGGTCTATATTGCACGTTCTGTTATTGATCTCCTTTTATAAAATTTTGGAACAGCAAATTTTGACCAATGCCATGGATCCTGGATACTATCAAACCCACTGAACAACTTTTTCACGGGGGGGGGGGGGGGGGGGCGAAACTTTTTGCACCCCCCCCCCCCCAGTTGCGGGCCTGTCTACAATTGAGAGAATAACCAATTTTGCTATTTTATGACGCAATAATGCAGAGTTATGCCCATTCATATATATGGGTTCTCTGTCATAGATTTCTAGGGTAGGGTTACCCATGAAAATGGCACAAGGGAGCATCGGACATAATATGGAAACCATTTCATATGAAAGATTGACCCGGACACCTTGTGTCGCTTAGAAATTGACGACTTTATGCTTGTCTGAAGTTTTCCCTTTTACAGGAAAATAATTTAAAGAATTTAGCATTTACCCTCAAAATTTACCACTTTCCGATACCCCGATGTTGGTAAACTTTTAGGATGTGATTCAGTACCCCGAACTCTATCAGAAACCATCAAAAACCTTTTCTTGCAATTGTTTGGGGGGTGGCCTCCCCTTTTTCATAATTTCACTGATGTACTAAAAGACCTAACAATTAATCTCAAAATTTGGAACTTTTAGAAAGTCACATTTTGGTAAAATTTTAGAATGTCATTCAGTATACCCAACAACCATCAAAAACTTTGTCTTGCAATTTGTTGGGGGTAGACACTTATTTTTCGTAAATTGACTGGACTATTAGGGTAATGGCTATTGTTGTATTTCAACCGATCTTTGACCTTGCTGTGTTTTTTTAAAAATACTCTTATTTTCAATATTTTGTGTAGCAATGAACTAGTTAACTTCTTAAACCCTTTTGCTGTCATATGTGTTCCTATAGGAACGGTCGTCTCAGATCGGACAATGTCCTCTCACCATTCCTGTCCGTCCCTATTAAGCTGCAATAGGAATATACCGCTCTATCCCACCTCTGTTCTAAGGCTATTTTGGATTCCTTACCTTCTTTTTTTCACCTCGATACTTCATTGTTCGCTAAAAGGGGTCATTTCTCGTCACATCGGACACAAAATTCAACGAAGCTTCGAACCCACAACTCCCGATCTTCGCAAACGCGAGTTTCATAATGGTGAACCAATTCAAACGTATTTGGTTTAAGGTTTTGAATCGCAAAATTATACTTGAAAAAATAGTGTTATATTATTATAAAATTTGTGTCAGATGTGGGAAGAATTGATTCCTTTTGCCCCCCCCCCCCCAAAAAAAAAGAAAAGAAAGATGAATCACGGCAGAAAATAGATAGTAGGGACAGAGTAATCTACACAGCTGCAACAGGTAACAGCAATCTGACAAGATACATTTTAATCCAAATTCCGCGTTACAGTCTCTCAAAAAGAACACAGACACAGGTCGTCTGACCAATTATTTAACATGCATCATGTGATATTCTCCTTATCAACCGATATCCTCCTCGCAGTGTTTGGTTTGATTAGACATAATTCCACCCAAACACTGCCAAATTATGACTGATCAACAGTCCGGTCAACAATCAATACATTAAAGCCTACTAAATCAATCGGTATTAGTCAGATCGTTACTAGGTTACTATAAAAGTATATATTGACAATCGCGACCACATTACGTCATAACGCACGAAATTAAATTTATTATGCTTAATTAAGCAGTGCATAGTAAACTATTGCAGACATATTAATTGTGTGACAAAGGAGGCTATCCAAAATAGCTACAAACGTAAACATTGTACAATCACCATACGTGGTAGCTGTTTATCATAAGTTTAAACCACGTAGCTGACTTCTAACAGTTGTTTTTGGCTTGTGCTTGTTTGATAAAATAAAAGTACTTCATGGATTTTCTTCACAAAAATGGATAAATATCATTGAATACATGATAGGTGGGCCCTAATTAAGGTTGATACAAACAGACACGTTTACATAATTTATGTCGGAGATTTAAGTCAAAAGTGTTTTGATCGGCGGCGACGACACTCGATGCATCCAAGCGTACAATGTTACTAGATACCAGTAGGCCTATTAACAAACACTTTGATTTTATTAAGAGGTCACTCCTGTTAAGCGGCCAGTCATGAAAATTCCCTTGAAGGGCTGCTGAATACAGATTCCGCTGTCAGGAGAGATTTGATTGAACGACATAAATAGACACTCCGTCAAAACCCCAACATTTCGCTCTCTGTGCGAATTTCTCGGGCCATTGCTTCAGGTCTGTAAAGGTGAGCCCGTCTCAAACAATTTTTTTTATATGAATACATGGTATAACAAAAGAAAATATTACAATTAACTTTCCAGCACTGGATAAGGTCTGTAAAATTCTTGTGCTTTGAACTTGACCTACATTTAACACATTACACAGAATTGGCACAGTATCTGAGCCTATGGATAAGCGATAATCATGGTTTTGTCGGTTCAAATGAATTTTCAGGTACATGTTGTACTACTGACTGACTTAATAAACCACGGAAATGTACCTACATTTTGTCGTTATCGATTTTGTTCAGGCGACTGCACATACTCTCTTTATCACCCATGTAGTTTTGAGCCCAAGCTTGGAATTTCTGCAGTCAAGTCCTACGGTCTTCGGTAGATAGCCCAGAAAATGGCGGGATTTTCCAGTCACTCATGGCCATGTAATACTACAGGGCATATATACTGTAGAAATTATTTAAGTTCTGTAAAGTTAGCTAGTACCAGTGACAACGAGAACTAGGCCAACAAGGATATGTCTGGTAGTTTTAAATCGGGCAATGGCATCATAGTCTGGTAATCCAAATATGGTAATCTCATGCGTTAGAAACTTGGACACCCGCTTCTGTAAGTATACTGTGTTGAAATTCAGGGTAGCCTCTATGCAGCTGAACAATCAGATAAAAGTGTACCTGGCCACTTTCCCGGGGGGGGGGGGGTCAGTACATGACTCATGCACGTATCCTCTTTATAAAGAACGTGTGGTATTTAAGTTTCTTTAGGCATCATTTTTTGTTGCCACAGCCTCCTCGGCTGAGAGGTTGGGAAACACCGCCGCAAAACTCAAGCTAGGGGATAGAGAACTTAAAATGTCATAGCTGTGTGTGTAGTTTCCTGTATATAACCGTTGTATTATAGATGTTATTAAGATCTAAAAACATAGTTATCAACAAAGTGTTCCAGATTTACTTGATCATGGGAAATAAGTCTATGTACAGTCCTGGTATCACGGGCCGTTTTCTGGGAGTTCCTAATTAGATAGTCACAACTGTTCCCGTAGTGTTACAGCCATTCTATTTGATCAAATGATCCATCAAAACACATTTTAAAGTCTAAGGAATACACACCGAGGTAACCCCAGGTGTGTGTTGGTGTTTAAACACACGTCTGGGGTTGGTATCTCATCTTATAAACCAGGTAACAGCAATCTGACAAGATACGACTTTTTATTCCAGCAGAATCCGGGCTACAAACTCCCAAAAATAAATACGGGGGGGGGGCATATATTCCCACAGCGAATAATCTACAAAACGTGCTCACGGTGCATAATACACTAGTGTCTAAATATATAAATCAAACAGACTTTCAAGTGAGGTTAAACTTGTTTAGTGTAGAAGTTTAACGGTAGCGACCACCAAACGGCTTTCTTCTGATTAATTGATCTTTACTGTACTGTCTAAATTGTAAAATTCCAAGGCAAAAACAATTTGTTAAAATCGACCCTGACCTGAATAGGCAGATTTAGACTTATCTGCTTGGGGATTAAATAATATGTATTATAAGGAATCCAAAATTAATGGAAACTAGGGCCAAAGCGATTAGTATGAAGAATGCCCGATCGACTATTTTGGCTATTTCTGGCCAGTGGTTACAGCTAGTTCTGGACTCAAGGTTATGACAACAAACATAGCTAGATGGTTCCAGATCTGTTGAGGAATTTACAGAATGTGTGTCATTGGATTCAAGCAAATTTTCTTTGATCAGAATCACACTCAACCATGTCGGTATTGGGGTTTCTTTGCTTCTGTTGTGAATGCAGAGGGTAGCTACATTACAGAGTACACAGAGAAAGTTCATCCCAATCATCAATGCCACATAAATCACTGAAAAAAGAATAAGAAATGAAGGTAAGTAAAATATCCATGCATGCAAAGGAAGTAATTAAATTTTTATTTACGAATTATGGATAACCCCTTAACAAATTCGATGTGCGTGAAAAGTCGTGTAAAACAACATGTTAAAAGATAAGCTACCGTGAAAGTGTCCCCATCTCTCCCCGTCATCGGTTATCACAAACTACACATAGGCTTAGGAGTCGGGGAGGGGGTTACAGACCTAACAGTTTCAGTGAACCGTCTATTTTTCGGGCAATGTATTTCCCATACTATAAAACTTAAGAATTCGCGTAATAACGTCTGTGGAAAACTCGCTTTAGTTAACGATTGATTCTTTCTGAAAATTCGGGTGACAAAGAAAATAAACGGGCAAAAAGCCTCAGCCCCTCCCCCCAACTGAGTTTGATGCCCTATGACAATGAACTAAAATTATATTGAAGTATTGGGTTGATTTATACTATAGTGTTTGCATAGTTCGGACACGCGCAGAATATGAACCATAGCTTTATAGTTTTACGTCACATCTAAGTCCTCAAATAAATAAATAATAGTATTTCACACTGATGTTCGAGGAAACCTGAACTAAATGCCGAGCAAAGACGCCCCCTTACGAACATCATTTATGTCTAACTGTGGACATCGGGTGGATGGATAAATGAAGTTTCTGTAGAAATATCATACTTACCAAAATAGGAAATACTATTAGCTGTCTTGGGTAACAGATCATCTATTACACTCAAAAATACTGTAAGGGTTAGCAACACCGTTATGGATACAGATAACCTTTCTCCACTCTGTGAGTCAATGAGAAAACTGATAATACACAAGGATGATATACCCACGAAAGGTCCAACAACATTTAAAAGATATAACGATGATTTTCGTTTCATTGCAAGGGTAAATTTTGATAAAGTTAGTTCATATACCGGATAGAAAGCCTGAGTCACATTTGTGTGTGTAATTGCAAAATCCCCATTAGGGGCTTCGAAGAGCGAATTGTCGAATTTCGGATTTTTTATAGTAATTTCCTGGTTTGTTGTCATCCAGGGCAGGATTATTATGCTGCAAATCTGGGAATCTACTGGAAACAGCGACACGTCAACAAAACAACTTGTACTTAATGAAAAAGTTGGTTCCCAATCAACTGTACCGGAATGATTAACATAAAGTCTTAAATCATCAGTTCCGAATTTCTGATAACCACGTATACTGAAAAACAAGTCAAAAGTGAGATTAATGTTACCCATCAAAATCTCAAAATAAATAGATGACACATATTAATTAATTGCCAATTTATCTTTCCAAGAGTATCAAGCAATCAAACTGCTTATCCATACTTAGTCTAATGCTCACGATCAAAATAGTCAAGGTACCAGGTAGAGAAACTATACACCAAGTTTCACCACTCTCCATCAGCTATAGAATCAAAGTTATCTTGTCCCAATTTTAAAGGCGGGGGATATTAAAACGAAAGATAGGGATTACACATAGTCGTAAGCATGGGCACCAATCCAAATATTTACTTTTAACAACCACATTGATTATGAGTAAAACGGTTTTGTTTTGTTTTTCCGCAGTGGAGACGACATAACTTATATTTTAATGAGGATCACTATTCACCATGTGATTTTAACAACTAATTAATTCAGAATTGACCAAGTATTGTTGTACACATGTATATATTGTCTAGTCGAAACGTCGCTGAGCAATACGCAGTAATTGTATTTCATAGAATTGTGATCTGTTTAAGTAATTGACGAAGATAGCTAATGATCAAGCAATCGCCATTGTTTTGCTGTTCATTGGTAATGTTTCTTCGTAACGTTCAGTATATTTCCTTGTTCATACTAGCGCCATATAAAAGCTATTGATCAAAATCTGTCATTTTAAGATATCGGACAGTATTAAATGTGCCCTTTTCTACTTTAAGTTTAAATTTGAAATGACTGTCGCCAGTTGAAAGAGCATTATACAAACGGTTTATATTTAGGCATATCTATTGTTTGAGATAAATATATTTATACTACTTCACTAGTGGGTATTATCATTTTGAAAGTTTCGTATTTAGGCAGTTCATTCATTATTTGAGATTGCCAATCGCTTTTAAAAAATATGTATTTGGATACCTTGAAATTTAACGAAATTAACCGATTAGAATTATTTCAGTTCCAACTATACATACCTATTTGCTGCATATAAATCGGGGAACCATATTTCTTTTTGTTGAACAGTTATCTCGAGAATACCACCATAATCGTCGGGATTCCATCTGAGTAGCTCATCTGTCCAAGACTAAAAGATAAAAAAAAATAACAATAACCCCAAAATGTTTATGTCAAATGCAAGATATAGATCGGAATGCCCAGGTTTTTTTAAGAAGCTTGCAATATTATATTTATTGTGATTTTGTATCTGGACAAATTTTGGTTAGGGTCGGACACTAAATTACAAACAGCCCTGTAAACTTATCATTATGACGTGTGCTGCTAAATAAATAATATTAATACAAACTATGACGTAAAATCCTGATGTTCTCAGCACTTGTTCCCGTGTATCCTGAAAGAGAAAACATATAATCATACATTTATATCACCAATTATCTCTTTGGAATAAAAACTTTAATCGCATAAAAATGTTGTCCACGCACCTTTAAAAGAACCCTGTCCGTCCGTCACATCTTGTTGCTTACCTCTTGTAATGTCTGTAATTGTGTGTCTCATCTGCGGGTATGTCTTGTCGGTGTTATGTGTAGCCCGTCCCTCATTCACTTACTATTTGATTCTGACTGAATGGTGTATAGTTTAATAATGTAAGTAGTAGTGCTAATAAGTTACTTACATCACATTATCGAAATGTGACAAATATTTTCTGTTCTTTCATTTATCCCTTTCTGTGCATCACGTTACATGTCATGGTAGAATGATTTCGCAGTGGAGAAACGACCGAGTAGTATTGCATTTACACGTGCGTTTTGCTGCGTTACCCTGAGCGTAAAACAGTCACGTGTTTTTTTAGACTGCACTCCGTACTGAAAGATGGAGGATGTATTTGACGAAGTCGGTGACGTGATGCTGTCACAAATTCCCCTTGACGATATAGAGGACTTTAATCTAACGAAAGAGCAAGAAAAAAGTAGGTTTGCTAAACCTGTAAGTGCTAGTTATATTGAATCGATGCAGGAAAGTAGAATTCCAACTCAGACCAAGCGAAATACTCGGTGGTGTGTCAAAGTTTATGATTCGTGGGCCTTGCAGAGAAATTCATCTGTGACTTCGAATGGCGTCCAAGAAAGTGAAAAATACTGTTTTGTGGCACCTCTCTCTTCGAAAATAACAGCAGAAAGTCTGGATTATTGGCTGTGCAGATTTGTGTGCGAAGCTAGAAGGCAGGACGGCAGTTACTACCCTGCTTTGTCTCTTAAAAGTATATGTATTGGCATTTGGAGATTTATTCGTGACACATGCAAACGGTATGACCTGAATTTTATGGACAACAATAACAATCATTTTGTCAATTTCCGGAGTACATTAGCCGCAGTAATGAAGCAGTTAAACAGCCAAGGCATAGGAACGCATACAAAACGTGCTGATCCTGTGACACGGGCAGATCAGCAGGAATTGTGGAATTCTGGAACGTTTGCTTTGAATAATTCCAGAGGATTACTCAATGCTGTTTATTTTTATAATTGTAATTTGTTTGTTCTGAGGGCTGCGGATGAGCACTGTAATCTTGAAGTTTCTCAATTTGCATTTGGAGAGGATGACAAGGGTGAATTTGTTCGATTTCAAGGCAGAAAAACGAAAAACAACCAGGGCGGACTTGGACAAAGTACAGTTCAAGTAAGGGTGATTTATTTATTTATTTTTTTTGCGACTAGTCTTATAATTTAATTATGCTAATTATATGAGAATATTTATTTGCCGATAGTTCTGGAAGTCGGTGTTTAAAGGAGCTAAATCGCTAATATTTGGGATCTAGAAATTGACACAAATGGGTCGCAACGCATAAAATAATGTAATCTGATTGTATATAAACTGATTTACATTCAATCGTTTCTGTTTTTACTGTAATTTCTAATCAGTTATATTCGGCGAAATACGTCAGGAGTCTCAATTGAATGGCAATCTTTAGCGTCTGGTTATTCCAGTCTACACTGATGGTATTTATTGCGCATGCTCTCCAGATAAGAATATAGCGTCAACATTTGACATGACTTGTGGAATATGTCTAGCCGCGTTCTTTGATTAGTTTGTTCCAAATGGCGCTAAAACGCATTTTGGTACACGATTCGTGTACCAATGGTAAAATGGTTGTTTTGTCTTAAATATTGGATTTCAGAAGCCCATCTTTTCCCTGTAAGATCATAAGACCAATGTTGATTTGAATTGACAAATAATTTGTGTTTTCAATATCGAAGATTTTTGATGATATTGAGTTACAGACTTAGCTACTTTAATGTCTTAATAATTGTTTCTTTTGTAGAGACATTAAGCAGTATGCATATCCGGGTAATGAACGATGTGCAGTTGCACTGTTGAAGACTTATTTAAGCAACATACCCCCAGAAGGACCCTTCTATAGACGAGCACTTTCACCAAATAAAGAAAGCTCAACAAGGTTTTCTCGGCAAAAGCTTGGATTACACAAAATCCAGAAATTTTTCAGCACAATGTGTAATCAAGCTGGTCTTGAAGGACGCTTTACTGGTCATTCAGGAAAGGCAAGTTTATTTTGAATAAATTTGTTTTCTTATGGAGCCGCGGTGGCTCAGTGAGTGTGGCACTGGCTCACGTACCAGTGGGTCCCCAGGTTTCATCGGGATTGTTCGTTTCTTCCCATGTTATTGGAGCGCCTCGTACGGAAAATCGCCTAGTCATTCTGATGGGATGAAAACCAAGGTCCTGTGTATGTAATTGTCAGTGCGTAAAAGAGCCCCTTACTACGGTTGGAAATCGAAAGAGTAGGCGTAATGGACGCTGCCGTGGCACATTGCATGTCTTTTGGTGTTCATTAGCCCAGCTGGTACAAAAAAAGTAGGAAGTTAAATCCCATTTCATTTCGTTTCTAATATTTTGGCCATACAGTTGACGAATGTTCGTACTGTTTTTTGTAGGTTACTTTGGCCACGATCCTATTTCAAGAAGGCTATGAAGAACAGCTAGTAATGGAAAGGACAGGGCATCGAGGCAACGCAGTAAGAGTCTACAAACGTACTTCTACATCTAAGCAAAAGGAGATATCGGATGTATTACAGCCGCCACCGCCCAAACGACCAGCCCAAGAGGAAGATGATCTGAAAATAGAGCATACCACATCGCCAAAACTGCCCACTCCACAGTTAGATGACGTGAAAATAGAGCCAACCACATCGTCAAAAAAACTTGTCCCTGGCGTAGAGGACTGCAATTACACTGCAAAACGTGGGTCAATAATGGTGAAGTGTGCATCGGCGGATGGTTCATCCGTTGAAATTTATTTGTAATAAAATTTATGACTTTCTAGGCGTTTGTTTTCATCCTGCGTATTTTCAATGCGTGTATAAAAGTGTTTGTTTGTCGGAAATGAACAGTACTCTTTCTGGAAAGCGTACTGTCCATTTCTGATACACGGATACTTTTATGCCTGTATTGGAAATAAACAGGACAGTTTTATCAAAGGTTGCCCCTGGCAACGAGGTAGAAGTGGGATGTAACTTTAATTACATCAATAACGTGACTAAGTTCCATTTGTTTTGCTAACGTGTATATTGTTATTACACAAATACCCTGAATAAGTGTGATAATTATTATTTTGGGATCATGCTGTACATTGTGGACTTATCGGCAGAAAGCTTTACATAAAATCGGTCCCGTAAGAATATAAAAAATATATAAGAAACTAAAGGGGCATAGTTTGCTCCCATATGAGTACAAATTACTTGCTAGGGGATCAAGTGGCTAAGTGGGTACGACGCTGGCTCGCTAGCCTGGAGGTCGGGTGTTTGATCCCTGCATCCAGATTTTCCAGCGTGGTTACCCCTTGTCAGTGATGCAGGACGGAGGGCCTGACAAGGACAGCTGTCTAGTCGTTCGGATTGGACGAAAAAACGAGGTTCCGTGTACACATCGGCGTGCACGTAAAAGACCCCTTGGCAGTTGAAATTCGATATAAGAGTAGGCGATAATGCCGCTGCCCGGGCAAAATTTCCCTCATAGCACACTGTATGGCGTATGCCCGTCTTCATTAGCCCAGTTTAGGAGCAGAACAATAGGACGTTAAACACTATTTCATTTAATTTCATTTCACCAATTACTTGCTGAAATAGATCAGCCCGAATTCTTCAAAGATGTTGTCGATTGTGATGTCGCCTTCTTTGGCTGGTTCTGAACTAAATATTTAGCATTGCATTAAAATCTGGGCGATTTGATTTTACGAAATTAAGAAACCATATTTTGGATTAGCTAAATATAACCGCAGTGCAGAGTTGTGTAGAGTACCATATAGTGGTCCGACTACATAGCCTTAATTGTAGGAATATTGGTCTATATAGGAAGTTAGAGGGAAAAGCACAAGATTAAGCCGAAAATCAGCTGGCGTAGGTGGTGTAAAAACAAAGTAAAATAGAAATTAAAGTGAAAGTAGAAAACACGAAGATCAGTACAATGGAGAGAATATGGCCTCAATGAAAAATCGGTAGATAAACAATGAAATGAAATGGGGTTTAACGTCTTACTGCTTTTCACCAATTACGCTAATGAAACGAACATGTCCACCGGCTTTGGGGTGAAACATTCTGATTGGAGAGAATGAAACCTTTTGATTTCTATGAATTTTTGTTTCAAAGATATATTACGTGTCTGGAAAATATAGTGAACACGACAGAGATCAGATTTCTTGAAGTCATCCTTCCACGTTTTACGTTTAGATAAGCTACTGGCTTGTTTTCGCGACACTTATCGTCATTGATGTAATGATTAATTTATAGTGTTTTAACAGAAGATGGAGACGTACGCAAAAGCAATTATCATCCTAAGCTTGGCGTTTGTTCGTGTGGCTGAACCGACGGCCTGCCAGAAATTTTAGTTCTTATACGGCTTAGATATCGTTCCACAAATTAATAAGTTATTAGCACGGCTAGTATTTTTTTGTTTAAAGGTTATGGATTACATACAAGAATAATCACATCAAATTGTCTAAATGACAGATAATGAGCACCCCCATTGCATTCTATAACCGTTAGAAGCCGCGTGTCGTATTGCCTACTATAATTACGTGTTATACATTTATTCTAAATAATAGGCAACAGACACAAACAAACAAACTGAAACAGAGTGCACATGAGCGAATATAAGTTGCAACTGCAAAGGTTGTAACTCCACTAACCCTAACCAGTTAACTCGTGTTAACTAAGGCGAACCAAAACTTTGCTCAAGCAAATGAACACAGTTTATAAATATTTAAAAGGGTTAGTTGCTTTTTGTAATAGTTATATACCTTGTTTTCAAGGTGTATGGGTTGATACACCGTCTCTTTTTTGAGTGGGGCTCCGAGGGATCGCCGAGGAGATCTCCACTTAA